ACGCAAGTAGCGACTTGAAATTTTCACCATCTTCAGAAAATGTCTAAATGTAATTATGCTGAAAGTTTTGTAAAAAACGCCAAAATTCCTGAGGTTTTCGAGCTTGGCACAAATCGGTCTCAAAATGAATAATTTACCCAACTGCGCCGTCTCCTTTAAAAATTCACATCTTCGAAACTAAAGCAACCAACGACTTGAAATCTTCACCATCTTCAGAAAATGTCTGAATATAAATATGCTGAAAGTTTTGTAAAAAACGCCAAAATTCTTGAGCTTTTCGAGCTTGGCACAAATCGGTCTCAAAATGAATATTTTGGCCAACTGCGCCGCCTCCTTCAAAAATTCGTATCTTTGAAACTAAAGCAAGTAAGGACTTGAAATCTTCACCACCTTCAGAAAATGTCTGAATATAAATGTGCTGAAAGTTTTGTAAAAAACGCCAAAATTCCTGAGTTTTTCGAGCTTGGCACAAGTCGGTCTCAAACTGAATAATTTACCCAAATGCGCGGTCTCCTTTAAAAATTCACATCTTCGAAACTAAAGCAACCAACGACTTGAAATCTTCACCACCTTCAGAAAATGTCTGAATATAAATGTGCTGAAAGTTTTGTAAAAAACGTCAAGATTCTTGAGTTTTTCGAGCTTGGCACAAATCGGTCTCAAAATTAATATTTTACCCAACTCCACCCTCTCCTTTAAAAATTCGCATTTTCTAAACTGAAGAAAATGGCGACTTGAATTTTTCACCATTCTTAGCAGACGCTTGACTCTAAAGGCACTGGAAGTTTTACTAAAAATCGCCCCGAACCCCATCGTTTGCCCAGCTTAGTAAAGCTCGGCCTCCAAGTGGTTATTTTTACCCACCTGCGTTCTTCACTTCAAAAATTCAGACTTTCTGAAACACAGCAAATGTCAATTTGAAATTTTTTCAGCGTTTAGAAAACAATTGACCCTAACGCTATCGAAAGTTTGAAAAAAATCGCCCAAAAATCCTATTTTTGCCAGCTTTTCAAAGGTCGATTGTAATACAGATATTCCCACCTGACTGCGGCTAGTTCTTTAAAAAATCACGTCTTCCAACCTGAAAGAAGTAGCAACGTGAAATATTTACCATCTTTAGAAAGGACCTCATTCTAAAAATGCTGAAACTTTCATTAAAATTGCTGGGAATCCTGATTTTTGCCAGGTTGGTAAATATCGGTCTCAACATAGATGTATTCACCTTCCCCACTAAATCAGTCAGCAATTTGAAATGTTCTCGTGCAGAAAAATTAATGGAGAGCTTTTTTCTTCCAAATTGCATAAGAAAGCGAAAAACGATTTTTATTTCCTGAAAAAGCAGTGGCGTGCTGCTGGCCGTTCGTGACAATACGCTCATTTTAAAATTGTTTAAATTTTTATAGGGAATTTCATATGATCCAAAAATGTACGACATGTGGTCATTGGGCTGTGTTTTGTACATCATGGTGTCAGCTTCAATGCCCTTTGATGACTTGGATGTGAAAAGAATGATTAAATCCCAACTAAATCGATCGATCTTCACAGTCACGCTGCTATGGCCGGATTATTCTTTGCAGATGAAGAATCTGTTGAATTCGCTGCTGGAACCGGACTTGCACAAAAGAATCACCATCGGGGCCGTTAAGCAGCATGAATGGTTCGACCGAGGCCATTTGCTCAAGTTAAAACGATTCCTGTCGCGATCAACCACTTCATTACTCTAGTTGTTCTCGTCTTTAAAAAAAGTATCATTCAAACTTTTGGCTTATTTTCTATTAATGTTTTTGGCTTCCAAACATACAAGCGAGAGTTATTTTTATTGATTGAAAATGTGCGTCGAAATGACGGCTAATGATTAATAAATAGCCAAATCCATTCACATAGACGCAGAACTAAATTTAGATTGATGTTCACGTGAAAATCATGTAGTTGCATCACCAGGGACTGAATTGCGCGGCGTCACTGTTACGTCACCAAACGCCTCCAATGGGGATCAATACGAAAAGCCCCAAGCAGGACTTGGAGGGTGTCTGGAATTGCGCCCCCCTTTTGGAGAACTGCGCTGTATTTTCATGCGGGTCACGCATACGAGGGTGTGCAGATAAATCGAGAATTGACCATAAAAAATTCATTTTATTTTAAGTTTTTCACCAAAAGAATTCGCATCTTCGACACTGAAGCAAGTAGCGTCTTGAAATGTCAACAGTCTTTGCAGGATTCGTCAATCTAAATATACAGAAAGTTTCATTTATTTTGCATGAAGTCCTGATTTTTGCCAGCTTAGTAAATATCGGTCTCAAAATGGAAGTATCAACCCAACTGCGCTCTCTCGTTTAAAAATTCGCATCTTCGATACTAACGCAAGTAGCGTCTTGAAATTTCAACAGTCTCTGCAGGATTCGTCGGTCTAAATATGCGGAAAGTTTCATTCATTTTGCATAAAATCCTGATTTTT